CCCCTGGAGTATGATATCTTCTGTCACCCCCTAGAGTATGATATCTTCTGTCACCCCCTTGAGTATGATATCTTCTGTCTATTCATAGGGTATGATATCTTCTGTCACCCCCTGGAGTATGATATCTTCTGTCACCCCCTAGAGTATGATATCTTCTGTCACCCCCTAGGGTATGATATCTTCTGTCACCCCCTGGAGTATGATATCTTCTGTCTATTCCTAGGGTATGATATCTTCTGTCTATTCCTAGGGTATGATAAGATATGACATGAAAAAAAAAGCCATTACTATGGAAGTCACAGCAGCAGTCGGATGATAACAATTAAAATTGCTGAAAACTATAATTTTCAGCATTAATTGGAATGACGAGAGAAAAAAAATCATCCCCTATTTTGGGATGATTATTTAGTTGTATATAATCCTCAGCAGAGCCTCTGGTGAGATAGCTAAACATTTCCTCTCAGGTTGGAGAGTTCTATGGTGTACCCTCGTGATAGGGGAAGTTTCTATTACCAAGGTACTTATAGTACAATGTTGTAGACTGATCAATCTGGAATTGTTTAAAGTAGTTTAATTAAGTAAAATTCAGCTGCCCAGTTCTTCTCATTACATGATTTTCAAGTATTATTATATTTAAATACAATAAAGTGACGCCCAAGAACAAATTGATTGTAGAAAACATGTTTTGAAAATGTAATTTTCTTTAAAATTTGAAAAGGAAGAAACAAGAAATGTAAAATAAATGTAATGATAAAGAAATGGAAATTTCAAGAAAATATTCAAAGAAATCATTACAATTATCATTACTTCGAGTTTCAATGAGAACATAATCCATTGCACATGTACGTTATATTTACAGATGTATTTGTGATACATTGAAAAAAGTTAATGATTGCATGTAACCGTCATTTCTGCAGGTCTACAGTTGACTTGTGTTAGTTTTTGGAAAAAAAATAACTTTATATATTAATGCTGACTGTTCCAAGTTAAAAACCACTGTAGTACAGTATACGAATATATATATCAGTCTTTTTTGAGACTTCCAATCACATAATGGAAATTACACCTGCAATTCATCAGCTGATGAGGTGTGTCCTCTCTTTGTAAGTGGATGTCTTGGCAAGGACTATTTTATCAATGTTTGTATGGTATGTTAGTGGTTCTTTACTTGCACTTTGAGCTTGAATACCTGCAGAATAAAAAATATTTACATAATGTATTAAAATTTGTATCGTCAGTATCGAGAAGAAAATAATTTGCTACGCCAGCAGTTGGCTGAGGCACGGCAGGAAGCTGTGCTGGAGACCCAGAGGTGCCATAAGATGAAGAAAGACATGGAGATTTTACAGAAAAAAGAGGCAGAAGATACGGCAGCACTGGAGAGAATAGTTCAACAGGTGGAGGCTAACCTTATCACAACTACGGTAGGGACATGTGAGATAAGTTAAACATTGTTAGACTTTAACATGAGTAGGTGAAGGGTAAGGCTAACAGGTGCAGTAGGGACATGTGAGATAAGTTAAACATTGTTAGATTTTAACATGAGTAGGTGAAGGGTAATGTGCTTTATACATATCATTTGATTGTATTTTTTTGTGATTTGACTAATATGAGGTCCAAATAAAATTACAGTAGAACTAGAGCCTTCTTAATCCTGGTGCCATTGTCTCCAGCTAATAAAATGTCTGGATAGTAAAGGCAAATGAAGGAATGTTCTTCTAAATGAGGGTTGAACTGTAGGATGTCATGATAAATGGATGGCTGCATTACCAGGCTAATATTATACCATATGTTTTGATAGTAACAAGTAAACAATATTTATTTATGGTAATTTGTACTTCCAGCAAAGAGCTGTGAAAGCGGAGAATACTGTGACACGACTCCAAACAGAGGTGAAAACATTACAGGTAAAACCATAGTCCATACAATATATATTAAAACATCTCACAATCAATGGAATACATAAATAAGTTCTGAAAATACCATTAGCCCAAGATTTAGTGATTGGCTTGAATATATGTTTCATATTCTTTTAATTACAAAATTCAAAAATGTATAAAATTATATAATTTTAAAAAAAATGACCTGATTTCTTGAAAAATGTTCTTCAAGTTGGTGATAAGAATCGGTGTTGAGCAGTGATTTTTCTGTAAATGGGGTAACAACCAATTCAAAATTGACATTTTCGTTCCCACAATTGACTAATAGGGGTGACCATGATGTCACTTCTAGGTCAAAGATCAAATAAATGCAACATTTAAGTAAAGTAACAGTAATTTTAAATATATATGTGTTGAAGATATTGTTATGAAACTTGAAATATACCTGTAATTATGTCTCTGTGAACTTCCCCAATGGAGGAACCAGGGCCCAGCTGTTCAAAAGGTGGTAAGCTTAACCACCGTTTAACAACATTTTTCAACCTTAAATAATTTCGTCAATATTCAAGGTAAAATCAAACAATTTTGCATGTAAACTCACTTTACTAAACATTTGATATCTGGAAAGTTATAACTAATTCAATGGTTGTCTTTTAAAGTTACTCAAAAATTAAAATTTGCGCAAATCACTGATTAAGCTAATCACCTTTTGAACAACTTGGCCCAGATTGTAATCAGATGATTAATTATTCAGGGCGAGGGCTTGTATAGGATGTGCCTGTTGCCCTATTCCCATTAAATTGGATTGATTTAATAAAAAATGTTTAAAACCAAAAATGTATAATTATTGCTATATTTAATAAAATGTTAATAGAGGATATTTAATAGTGTCTTTAGTAATAACAATTATATTTCAAGAGTGTGGCTGCAGCACGAGTGAAAAGTATCAAAATATTAGCCACAGGAGTGACATATATTTGTTATTACCGAAGACACCATTCAATTTTCTATATACTACATTTTTAAAGCATAAAACATGAAAAATGTAATGCATTAAAAAGGGCGGGAATCAGAAGCGTAATAATTAGCGCCAAATTCTAATGACGTCATGCTTGACAACAAGGCTGCGTGTCATTGTGAATGGGATTCTCAACACAGTCCCGACGTTTTCTGTTATTTTTTGTTATGGTTTCTTATAGAAATGTTATTAATTGTATATTTATGTAAATAGTTAAGTATGTGTACCAAACATTTACCAAAACTACTTATTCTACCGTCGCATCCTTTGAATCTGAACAAAAGATTGTTGTCTTTGAATACAGCAAATAGAAGATACCGTTATGATTGGTCAATACCAAAAGGTGATATTTTCACACTGAAAATATCACTTTTGATATTTGTCACAGTGTGAAAGATATCTGTTTTATAAAGTTAATAGAATCTGATATTTCATCGGCAAAAATGTAACAAATGTGTCTACTTTATGTGTTGTACATATACCAGTTGCTCAAATGTGTTAGAGTGCTGTAAAAGCCAATACCAATTGATTATACATTGTTATACCGGCGGTAAACACAATAATAAGAATAGCGTTACACTATTGTTGTTTTGTAGGGTCGGTTAACCAATATGCGGACAGAGAATGAGGTACTAACATCAGGAGATCGGGGACTGGCAGAAATTAGACAGAGGACCACTCATGTTTCCAAGCAGTTATCTACAGCAGCCTCAGGTGCCGAACAAAACATCAGGTAAGTTGTATTAAAAATAAGCTTCATCCTCCAAAAAATATCAGGAAAGTTGTATTCAAACATTAGCTTTAGCCGCCGAACAAAACATCAGGTGAGTTGTAGTGGATACAAGTACAGTATAGCTTCAATTAACACTCATATGGTGCTGATTTTCACCAAATATTAAATATATGAAAGTTTTAAGGGAGATAACTCAGAAATCACAGGCCCAAGCAATGAACATCTTTATCCAATTTTGGTCAAAATTTAGTTTGAAGGTGTATAATGGTACTGCAAACACGACTGCAACTTCTGTTTTCTGATTTGACAATATGGCTGCCTTGCGCATTATCTGCGACTGCGGGGGTTGTTTAAGGACTTTTGTAATGCCCCCCATTACAATCAGCACTTGTTGAAAGTACACAGGTGTAGTATTATTTTTAAGATTTTATTTTCAATATTGTCAGGGAAATATGTATGCATATTGTGAAAAATTATACATTTTAAATTAAAAATCAAACAATATTGACTTCATTTCGCTGGCTTGTTTTAATGGTGCTCTTTTTGTTTCTCATAGGCAATTGTTACAGGGAGTAGAGAGTCTCCGGCAGTTCTCACAAATATTGTCATCTGTTGAGAAAATCACAGAGGAACCCGTTGAACAGCCAGAACCTAGTAGCCAACCACAGCAAAGTAAACCCAGCCATAGCCAATCAGACAAAAGTGAAAGTAACAAACCAGAAAAGAAAAAAAGTGGCCAATCACAGCACAGAAAATCCAAGCCGACAGAGGAGGAAGATAACCAACAGAAAGATTCCGTAAAGCATGAAAAAGACAGAGACCAAGACGTAACATGACTATGACTTATGTTGTGACGGCGAGTGATGTGCCAGTGTATCGGCAGATTATTTTTATACAAGGAAGACATGCCACACTGGATTGCTGATTTAATAGTGTACTTAATGCTTAATGTTATTTCAGGCGACGAGCCTGAAATGTTTTGGTCAGAAATCTTCGATTAGTTTTGTTCTTTAACATTCATAATCCTCTTAATTATAAGTTTGGAAGAGTAATTCTTTTAAGGCAAGTTGTTATTTTGCTGAACATGGAGTTGGTGATTGTCTGTGATTTTCAAATTGTGCTTTTTAAAAAAAAATGCTCATTGGATTGACTGTGCTGCATTAAATGTTGTGGAAAATATAAACAAAAATAAGGGAGATAATTCATCTGGCCATAAATCATGTTCCTTAATAAAAAAGTTTGCTGTGAATTTATCACAGCAGGTTTGTATGTCAAACATTTGTATCTTGGGTGTTGTACCAGCCGATGGCAAAAGACATTTTATGTGAATAGTAGATCAATACATATAATAGTAAATTATCAACCCAACATGAGATTAAACTAATTAGTGCTCCCTGATCATGATCACCATTTATGCTATTTATTGTGATAATAATATTTAAAAGCAAATGTAAGGAAAGTGAATTAAATCTGTACTGATTAGAAAGTCTGGGCCTAGTTGTTCAGAAGGTGATTAGCTTAATCAGTGATTAGCACATATTTTATTTTTGTGTATCTTTCGAGCACAACCATTAAATGAGTTAAAATTGTCCAGATTCCCCGGTAGTAAATATTGAAGTAGAGTTAAGTTTCTTGCAAATTCTTTTTTACCTTGTATACTGACCTGATTATAAGAGGTTGACAAATGTTGTTAATCTGTGATTAAGCTCATTAACCTCTGGAACAACTGGGCCCGGATGGTTATATTATAAATCTTTTCGTCACACTGTTTGCTAAGTTTGAGTAAAGTAGAGAAGTAAGTAAGGTACCACAGGCCTTCGATGTAAGGAATTGTTAAAGGGTAAATTATCTTGAAAAATGGTGTAAGTAATTAAACATGAAGTACTAGATGTATAATGATCAAATTTTGTTCAGTCAAACTGTCACAGTATTGCTTCACAGTCAATAGGAGACAGTCTTAACCAACACACCTTTTGGGATCAATAGTTCATTCATTTCATAATTTTTCAAAATTAATATAGCAAAAAAATAATTGAAGTAAACCTCAATGCTACAGACTGTATTGAAGTTGGACTGTAGAACAGATGTTATGATAAATGTATGTGTAAGATTTAGACATCACACTGACCCTCCTGTCTGTGTTGTTTCTTATAGTGACGGTTACACTTGTGGCTTTCATTTTAGGAAGGAATCAAAAGATATGCATTATTTAGAAGAAAAAAATAATTCTTATTAGCAAGTAAAAAAAATACTTCATGTACATGTTTATCAAAACACTATCACTGCAAATGATTTATGGACTATAGAAAATAGCATTACATTTCCTGATTTATGGACTATAGAAAATAGAATTACATTTCCTGATTTATGGACTATAGAAAATAGAATTACATTTCTAGATACAGGTATTTATAACACTTAACGGTAATAGAAATTGAACAATACTACCAGATCATAATTCCTCCGTACTCAGTTACATGTATATGCATGCAAAGGATAGCAAAACTTACAGAATATTGACTGTTGCAAAGAAGTGTGTGCATCTGGGTATATATTTTAGTAATTTCGAAAGTTTCGGAAAGTCTGAATTTGGACACCTTATTGATTATAATTTGTCCGAGTAAAGAATTAGAAACATATTCTCTATTAGGAATACATGTATTCATGGATTTAATGATTAACAGAAACATATTCTTAATAGTAGATCCTGTTGAATATCAAATTAAGCAAATTTGAAAAAACTAAAGTTACCCCATCACCTGTTTTTGATTGAATTGCTCCTTATCCCTCTTGTTATACTTAACCTGGAACAAACTCTTACAGTAATTTACTCATAAAATCTATCCAGTTTATTTATCAAGATCAGCATGTACTTGATCATTATCTGTACTGTTTGCTATAGGCTGTGCCAATATATCTAACTGTACTAGTATACCTATGTGTCGAGTATGTATGCTTCAGCTAATGGAAACCAAACACCTGTCTTTGTACTTTACAGTTTTACAGTAAGTATATTATCAAGCACTTGTGATAACTGGTAATATTATTAAATTGAAGACACTATTTGCTAATCCTTCCACCTTATATTGTTATCTCAGTAGGTTAAATTTAACAGGGGAGACAACTCTTTCATCTTTAAAAAGAGCGAGAGATCAAAAAAGTATTTTCTCCATACACTTAAACTCATTCACCCCTGAAGATACATTTGAACTCTTCCAATTCAAATGATGGAATATTTCATTAAGAAATTTCAGGGGTGAATGAACTTATGTCATTTAGTGATATTATAATCTTTGGGTTAATCTGGTATCTTCTTCATAGACTGTAATCATATCTTTTTTTTGGGGGGGGGGGGGGGGGGGGGGGGGCACAGTTCATTCATTTTACAGAAACTAAATCATGTAAATCTCCCCCATGTGTTAAAATAATTCAGTTTATATAACATTCTTGCCTTTGTTGTAAAATCATTTTTCTTTCTATGAACATTTCCCAGTGTAAATCAAAGCGTATACATTGTAATGAGGACAAGCCATCACGAGCTATTTTAAAATGCCTTTTCCCAAATCTGTTACGGTGGACACTCAGTTTTTCATTAGTTTAGCATTGATGTTAGAGAAATGTCAAGAGTCTATTATATAAAATTATTTAATGCACGTGACTGTTAAAATGTACAATTATTCTTTTACGACCCAGTAATCTTGTATCCAAGTTAACAAGAACCTCCTTTCTTAATTAACACAAAGTTGGTTATTCTGACATATTACCAGGATATATAACACTTCATAATCTTAATAGTTAGAACTCTAAATAGACATATTCCTATAGATAAGGCTATCTGAACTCTGTTTTCTAAAAAGCATTGATTATATCACTTCTGGTGTGGTAAAAGAAGGTACACCAATTTGTCAGAAATCCGTCGTTATGTGATGTGATAAGAAATGTAAAATACTCATTATACATAAAAACTTTTAATAAAGATTAGTTACACTAGATAAAGAGTGCGGTTACACTAAAAGGTAAAAGAATAATTACACCAGTATATATCAAATGTAATTACACCAGTATATATTGAGTGTAATTACATGATAAGTCTGTTCATTGTTAAGCACACGTAGAGAAAACAATTGATAGGAACATGCTAACCATTTCAGCCCTGTATATGGTCATGTGAATAGGAACATGCTAACCATTTCAGCCCTGGATATGGTCATGTGACTAGGAACATGCTACCATTTCAGCCCTGTATATGGTCGTGTGACTAGGAACATGCTAACCATTTCCGCCCTGTATATGGTCATGTGACTAGGAACATGCTAACCATTTCAGCCCTGTATATGGTCATGTGACTAGGACTGCTGGGTTTAGGTTTACATATGTGTAGTAAAGTTCAGTTTACATATGTGTAGTGAAGTTCAGTTTACATTTGTGTAGTGAAGTTCAGTTCACATATGTGTAGTGAAGTTCAGTTCACATATGTGTAGTGAAGTTCAGTTCACATATGTGTAGTAAAGTTCAGTTCACATATGTGTAGTGAAGTTCAGTTCACATAATTGTAGTGAAGTTCAGTTTACATATGTGTAGTAAAGTTCAGTTTACATATGTGTAGTGAAGTTCAGTTTACATATGTGTACTGAAGTTCAGTTTACATATGTGTAATGAAGTTCAGTTTACGTATGTGTAGAGAAAAACAGTTAAAGGGGCTGGTCGGGGAAAACAAATCAAAATAAATTGGTCTAAATGCGTTCTCTGGCCCTCCAAAAGTTATACCACGGCAATATGATGGTCGAGTTCTGCTTGCAATGTCCAGTTTTGACCACTGAAATCTCGTGGAAGCCCCGCGTAAATATAGCGACGATTTATTTATATAAGTCACCAGGTTGTTTCGAAAGTGAGGCAGTGAAGATAACAACAATAGCACGCAGTGCCATGTCGGACTCAACTAGCGGACAAGACAGCAATACTATACGTAAATAATTGTTTTCAAAGGTCATGTATGATGCAAGTGTAGTATTCCTTCCTATATGTTGTTGTTATATATAGCGGTATTGATACCTCGTGCCTGTCATGACTTTTGCATGAATCTTTTTCTTTCGCCGCGATGTTTACATTTGGCCTTGATGATGACCCGCGTGCGGTAAAATTACATCACTGATCTGGGTCAATTGAGAGTTTTAGACTGTCAGGTGACAATTTAGGATTTCTTTAATATAATTATAATTTTTACTCTTAGGGAGTGAATTTCAGCAAAATTTGAATCAGTATATTTCATAAGAAGGTATTTTAAACATGTGTATGCCATTTTAGCAAATATGACATTTTTTCCCCGACCAGCCCCTTTAACATATGTGTAGTGAAGTTCAGTTTACATATGTGTAGTGAAGTTAAGTTTACATATGTGTAGTGAAGTTAAGTTTACATATCCAGTGAAGTTCAGTTTACATATGTGTAGTGAAGTTCAGTTCACATATGTGTAGTGAAGTTCAGTTTACATATGTGTAGTAAACTCCAGTTTACATATGAGTAGAGAAAAACAGTTAACATATGTGTAGTAAAGTTCAGTTTACATATGTGTAGTGAAGTTCAGTTCACATATGTGTAGTGAAGTTCAGTTCACATATGTGTAATGAAGTTCAGTTCACATATTTGTAGTGAAGTTCAGTTTACATATGTATAGTAAAGTTCAGTTTACATATTAGTAGAGAAAAACAGTTAACATATGTGTAGTTAATGTATCAGTGATAAGCCCATGCTTGGTAATAAGCCCGTCTCAGCTGTTATACAGATTTTACTGGTAAAGGCCTCTTACCTGTCTTACCTGGCTGATTATATTCTGCAATAAGATTGTAGGGTCCATTGCTCATTTTAGCTGTTGATTTTTAAGGAACAAAGACCATTGTGCTTATGTATCACAGATATGATACACGATTAGTTTATATTGTGCAATTATCATGAATGTGAGTGGTTTTATATGTGAATGTTTTGAGAGATATTAATGTAAGAGTGCTGGTTTAAAATGAAAACAGATATTTGTTTTATCTGGTTCTGATTAAATTGCATATTAAAGAAATTATTTTGTTTTCTTCTCTTTTTCATGTCTTATTGCTTACCCTGTAATACCATTGGGTTGGTTTGATATGGCATTGGTTCAGTAATAAGCTCTAATCATGACACATATAATAAAACATTTGTTTGTTTTGTATTTACCTCAACCTACTGTCAAGGTCACAGGGGTCAAACACTTTAAGCAACTTCTTCTGAAGAACCGAAAGTTATGGAAACATAATATTTGGCTGGTAGCTTCCTGGGATGGAGCCAAACAAAGGCTGAATGAAAATGACCTTGACCTGCTTCAATGTCCAATAGGTCAAATTTGGCAAAAACTGCAAATGACTCAATTTGAATAACTGAAAGGCACAGAATCGTAACAAGTAGCTTCCTGAGATTGAGCCCAACAAAGTTTGTAAATGAAAATAATCGTGACCTTTTTAGCCTACCATTTATTCAAATCACCCTGCGTCTGTGGTCTATCCACCTTAAACAATTCTTGTTAGCCCTGTTTAGCTCACCTGGCCCTTCGGGCCAGGTGAGCTTATGCCGTACTGCAGGGTCCTTCACCCGGCGTCCGTAGTCCGTCGTCTGTCCTTCAACTTTTTCTTTTAAACAAATTCTTCTGAAGAACTGGAGGACCTAGGGTCCTAGTAGGTACCTGGGATGGAGTGCTTAAAATTTTTCCTCATTAAAATGACCTTGACCTACTTTCAAGGTCACAGGGGTCAAATACGTTCAAAATCTCAAACAACAATATCCTAAGAACCATTTGGACTAGAGTCATGATACTTGAGTGTGTTATGTAGACCAGCAGTGCGAATCTTTTTCTTATTCACAGTTATGAGGTCAAAGATCAACTTTAAGTGCTAGTTGGGGGTCAAATGTCAACATGGGTTAAAAGCTTTAACAATCTTCTTCTCAAGTTCCATAAGGCCCAGGGTCATAATATTTGGCCAGTAGGTACCTGGGATAGAGTGCTATAAAGTTTCCTCATTAAAATGACCTTGACCTACTTTCAAGGTCACAGGTATCAAATAGGTTAAAAACTTCAAACAACGATATCTTAAGAACCATTTGGACTAGAGTCATGATACTTGGGTATGTTATGTAGATGAGCAGTGTCAATCTTTTTCTACATAACAGTAATGAGGTCAAAGGTCAACTTTAAGTGCTAGTCAGTGGTCAAATGTCAACATAGGTTAAAAGCTTTAACAATCTTCTTCTCAAGTTCCATAAGGCCAAGGGTCATGATATTTTACCAGTAGGTGTACCTGGGATGGAGTGCTTTAAAGTTTCCTCAGTAAAATGACCTTGACCTAGTTTCAAGGTTACAGGGGTCAAATATGTTAAAAACTTCAAACAACAATATCCAAAGAACTATTTGGACTAGAGTCATGATACTGGGGTATGTTATATGTAGACCAGCAGTGCGAATATTTTTCTAATTCACAGTGATGAGGTTAAAGGACAACTTTAAGTGCTAGTTGGGGGTCAAATGTCAACATGGGTTAAAAGCTTTAACAATCTTCTTATCAAGTTCCATAAGGCCCAGGGTCATGCTAATTGGCCAGTAGGTACCAGGGATAGGGTGCTATCAAGTTTTCTCTGTAAAATGACCATGACCTACATGTACTTTCAAGGTCACATGAGTCAAAAATGTTAAAAACTTCAAACAACGATATCCTAAGAAGCATTTGGTCTAGAGTCATGATACTTGGGTATGTTATGAAGACCAGCAGTGCATTTATTTTTCTAAATTACAGTAATGAGGTCAAATGTCAACTTTAAGTGCTAGCCGGAGTCGAAGGTCAACGTGGGTTAAAAGCTTTAAAATTACTTTTTCAAATTTCAAACAACAATATCTTAAGCGTTTAAGAGATGTTTAAATGTCTTGTGTTCTAGTTACCAAATTTGGTCTGAAGTTAATGTCAGTTTCGTGTAACAAAAGAAACAGGTGAGCGTTACCGGCCCTCTGGGCCTCTTGTTATCATAAAGTACTGGAGGGATTTCTTTTTTCAAATTTCACATGAAGGTTCCCCATGGTCCTTAGTTATTTATGCATATCGTTTTTTGGGACTGATCACAAAACCAAGATGGCCGACAGCCAGCAATCTTTATATTTGAGAGTTAAAGTATGTTAGCGCTATTTATCAGAAAGGACTGGAGGGATCTTTATCAAATTTTACCTGAAGGTTCCCATGGTCCCTAGTTATGCCTATTTTTTTGGGACTGATCACAAAACCAAGATGGTAGAGAGCCAGCAATCCTTAATTTGAGAACAGAATTTTGTTAGCGTCATTTCTCAAA